ATGATATCTTGGAGGGCAAAGGAGCTAGGATTAGAATCAAGAGTATAATCAACTGAGTATAATCCTTCAGGGGAAAAATAGGTATTCAATGAAATAGAGGACTTTCAAACATTCTTGATGAAAAGACCAGAGCTAAATAGAAAATCTGACTTTAAATACAAGACTCACGAGAAGCATAAAAAAGGTGAACAGGAAAGAAATCATAAGGGACTTAATGAGGCTAAACTGTTTACGTGCTTATGTGGGAAGATGATACTGGTAACTCATAAGAACTTTCTCATTATTAGGGGAGTTAGAAGGAATATATAGACAGAGGGCACAGATTTGAGTTGAATATGAAGAGAAGATATCTAAAAAATTAAGGGGCAAGAGAGGAATATGCTGGGAGAAAGGGCAGGGGAGAGGTAGAATGAAGTAAATTATCTTACATAAAAGAGGCAAGAAAAAGCTTTTACAATAGAGGGGAAGAGGGAAGAAATGAGGGAGAGTGAGTGAGTGAACCTTACTCTCATCAGAATTGGCTTAAAGAGGGAATAACATACTCAATTGGGTATAGAAATCTATCTCACCCTACAGAAAAGTAGGAGGGGGAGGGGATAAGAGAAGGGAGAACTGATAGAAAGGAAGGCAAATTGGGGAAGGGAGCAGTCAGAAGCAAAACGCTTTAGAAGAGGGACAGGGTGAAAGGAGAGAGAATAGAATAAACATGGAGAAATAGGATGGAGGGAAATACAGTAAGCAATAGTAAGTGTGAAAACATTTTGAAGCAAGTTTCTCTAATAAAGGCCTCATTTTTCAAACATATAGAGAGTTGAGTCAGATTTATAAAAATAAAAGCCATTCCCCAATTGATAAATGATAAAAATGAACAGTTTTCTGATGAAGTAATTTAAAGCTATACATAGCTTTAAATTACTTCATCTGAAAGCTTCAATTTTATCTACCTATAGACATATCTATATCTATATCATAAAGGATATGAAAACATGCTCTAACTCAGTATCGATTGGAGAAATGCATACTAAAACAATTCTGAGGTACTACCTCATACAAATTAGATTGCCTAATAGGAAAAAAAAGGAAAAATGACAAATGTTGGAGGGGATGTGGGAAAAATGAGACATTAATGCACTGCTGGTGGAATTATGAACTGATCAAACCATTCTGTAGAGCAATTTGGAACTATGCACAAAGGGCTATAAAACCATACATATCCTTTGACCTAGTAAAACCACTACTAGGTCTGTATCTCAAAACTGATTAAAAAAAAAGGAAAAGGACCTCTATGTACAAAAATATTTATAGCAGCTTTTTTTCTGGTGGCAAAGAATTGGAAATTATGGGAATGCCCATCAATTGGGGAATGGTTGAACAAAATTTGGTATGTGATTATAATGGAAGATTATTGTGCTATAAGAAATGATGAGCAGGATGCTCTCAGAAAAACTTGAAAAGACTAACTTGAACTGATGCAAAATGAAATGTACTGCACACAAAGCAACAGAAGTGCTGTAAGATGATCAGATGTGAATGACTTAGCTATTCTCAGCAATACACTGATGCAAGAAGAACTCTGAAGGACTTATGATGAAAGGTGCTGTCCATCTCCATAGAAAGCAATGATGGTGTCCAAATACAGATTGAAGCATACTTTTTTTCTTTATTTATTTTCCTTGAGTTGTTTTTTTTTTTTTTGGTCTGTGTTTTCTTTCAGAACATGACAAATGTGGGAATGTTTTGCATAACAGGACATTTATAACCTATATTGAATTGCTTGACTTCTCAATGAAGGGGGTTAGAGAAGGAGGAAGGGAGAGAATTTAGAATTCCAAGTTTCAAAAACAAATGCTATAAATTGTTTTTACATATAACTGGGGAAAACTAAAATACTAAATGAATGTTTAAAAAAAATTCATTCTCAAGAGCTTCCCATCTCTCTCAAGACAATTTTTCCTATGGAGTTTTTAGTTATAGTATGCTATCTATCCTTGTTATAAACTCTTTCAATTTATTCTCCCCAAATCTAGGATGCACGTCACATTGTTCTTTGTTTTTCTTTCTTTCTGTATCATTTGGGTATTTCCTTCCCCTCACTTCTCATAAGCTTATTATCATTTTTATTTCAGGAATAAATTCCTCCCTGTCCATGAGAATAATGTTTAGAAGTATAATTCCACTGACTGCTTCATCGATCTTTTTTCCCTCTGGTTAGGATGAGTAAGGACATTAGGAATATATTTTGATGTACTGTCTTTGGTACAATGAGCAGTCCAAACACTCAATTGGTCAAAAAGCATTTATAAAGCACCAACTACGAGACATATAGTGTGCTAAGCACTGGGGAACTGCAACCCAAGACTCTACAATATATTCATAATCTATTTCTTCCAACTTGCATATATTTACTCCCTATCTATAATGTCAATGATATTTTTCTAATTTTGTCTTTATTGATGTTCTCCTAAATTCTTTCCACACTGCTTCCACCTTCTGGAGTTATTCAAGTGAACATATCTTCTTAATATATATAGTACAAATATCTAGCAAGCTAGCTAGCTAAATCTATATCTCTATCCATATATTATAGATCAGAGATGACTGCTTCTTTTTATCTATTATATTGTGAATTTAAGTATGTATGTATTTGTGGCCCTAGAGAACTGCAAGTTACAGAAGTAAATTAGTGTTATTTCAGAAATTTCATAGGAATAGAAATAATAGTTCATAGAAATAGTAGTTCATAGAAATATAACATTAATTCTATTTAATAATTAATAATATTCTAGATGTGACTTCTTATTCAAAATTGATAAGAATTTTGTAATTAATAGAGATCTTGAATAATTAATGAGATTAATATTATTTAAGAACTGTATATAATTTTTCTTCATCCTCTCTCCTATAAAGACTCTAAAACCAAATATTCATTAAATGCTTGAATTAAATGCTATAACGGAGTAGATAATTACAAGCTAGATGGTGAGTAGAAAATGGAATATCATTTAGTATTTTACTCTTAAATTATGAAGAGACTCTATCCTGAAAGGAACTGAACCCAGGTAAGCCTTTGAATTTTGTTCTTTATTCATGAACCCAACATACATGATACTACATACACAAGACCACAGGTTTCTATCTTCTAGGAGTTTATGTAGAGCAGAGGTTTCAAACTCATATCTTAAAGGTTGTCAAAACTCCCAAATGAGCTGGACCCAATTAAAATATAACTAGGAAATGTTTAACAAAATGAGCAAAAGTACAGCACAACATGAATAGTGTTAATTTGTGGTTTTCCAAGTCAGTATGCAGCCCATAGGGATTTGTTTCTATTTGAGTTTGACACAACCGTAGAGCATCACATCTATAACTTTAGTCTGTCTTTATACTTAAATCTGCATTATTAATGGGGCAAGAACATTCACTGAGTGACCTCATGATTGCCAAATCTAGTGGTTTTTTTCCTCAATCCTCATTCTTATCCTTCCTGAAGCATTTGAGAGGTTTTTTTAACCTTCTCCAACTATATGCTCTCTCTTCTCTAGATATATTCTATATCTAGAGACAATATATTCTCTTGTTTCTCTTCCAATGTGTCTGACCATTTTTTGTTAGGCTATTTAGCTACATATTCATCCATGTCATGCTCATTATGTGAGAGTGTTCCTCAAAGCATTATCCTCAGATTTCATCTCTTTTGTCTTTATCATTCAGTGGTCATATCCCCTCCATGGATTCAATTATCATCTCTAGGCAGATTATTCTCAGATGTCTATATCCATCTCTAGTCTGTCCTGGGCCAGCTCCATGTTGTCTAGTTTTTGGGCATATCAAATTAGCTATCCTATAGGTATCTTAAACTCAACATTACTAAAGCAAAATGTATATTCTCCCCAAAATTCTCCCTTGTTACTTTTGAACTTCCCTTAATGTTGTGGGTACTATCATCCTCCCAGTCACCTAGGTTCATAACCTGAGTTTCATCCTCAACTCCTCAGTTCTATTTATCCCACCCATGCAATCTATCATCAAATTCTTCGTAACATCCCTCTTATCTTCATAACATCCCTCTTCTATGGCCCCTTCTCTATACTAAAACAGCTACTATCCTAGTTCAGGCTTTTTAATTTGTCTCCCTGCCTTTAATCTCTTCCTACTACAATCAATAATCCAGTCAGATCTCAAGTGATTTTCCTGAATCCATGGTAATGTCACACCTAAATGGTGTGACAAAGTCACTCCTTTACTCAAGAAAGCCCACTAGTTCCATATTATCTCCAGTACCCTATATAAACTCCTTTGTTTGGCGTGTAAACCTTTTTTTATTTTTTTTTATAATCTGGCCCTCTTCTACCATTCTTTATGTCTTCTTACACTATACTCCCCTCCATGTACTCTATGATTTAACTATACTCAACTACATACTACTCCTCAAATAGGATATGCCAGTTTCTCATCTCTTCAGGATTTTTCACTGGATGTCTTTTTTTCTAGAATCTTCTCCACCTCACCTCCCGACTTTTAGTTTCCTTACCTTCCTTTAGGACTCCGTTCAAATTTCAACTTCCTGATTGCCTCTTCTCCCATGGGACTGCCTTCCATATATATTTTTGTGTGTGTGTGTGTGTGTGTGTGTGTGTGTTTGTGTGTGTGTATGTATGTATGTATGTATGTATGTATGGCTAGTTATTTGCCAGTTGCTTCCTCCATTAGAATTTGAGTTCCTACGGAGCAGGGATTGTTTAGCCTTTCTATTCTCCACACTTAGCACCATGTCTGGAATATAGTAAACACTTAATAAATGCTTACTGATTGCCTCCTTTTGGCGAATTTTTGGGCATTAAATGTCTATAAAATAGAGGTACTCTTAATTTGCTAGTTACCATAATGAGGTGTTTATCAAAATCACCTATGGATAAGAAAATCATACAGAACAAGGTATTGAAAGAAAAACTGAACAAGAATATCATAAGGAGGAAAATATTAGAAATTATTTTCATTACCTGAAAGTACGTGAACTGTGAGTGATAGAGATCTGGATAAACATGAAGAGTAGTTCCAACTACCAGTAGCAGTTCAAATTTGTGGAGAGATGAGCTAATATAGCCAGTAAATCCCAAACACCAGATTTTCAGAAGAGCTTCCAAATCAAACAGGACTGTAAAGGCCACCTGGTAGAATATTTATGAAGAAAAAGAAATACCAACATCTGAATTTAGAATTATGATTTATAGCAATACAACTTAAGCATTCAGAATGAATGAACTTTAGTCAGTACAAGCTGAAACCAAGGTAGTCTTAACAAAGGCCTTGAATTTTAATTTTTAAAAGAGAAAAAAAGTTTAGATATATATTTTTATTAGATAATGAACTTTAATAGACTGAATCAACCTAGAGTACCAATCAACCAATATGTCAGTTTTTATTAAGTATGTACTTTAAATGTTAAAATAATTTCATCGTCAATAAAAGAACTGTTGTGATTAGAGATTCTTGTATATACATAGGCTTGATTCTTGCTAAAACTCAAGACATTCTCTTAGACATTCTCTAAGCTACTGAACAATAGAATAGAGATATAATTTTAAGTTATATAAAATCAGGAACATACTCTTTTGGACAAGAAGAATAAACAAACTGTGATATTTGGAATCATAGACTAGAAACAACTTTAAAGGTCAACTATTCCAAATCCTTCCTTTGTTTACATAAAGACTAGGAAACATATTGGGGGCAGAAAAACTTGCATAGGCAAGTCTATTTTATCTCTTGGACAAGTGTTATTTAACTTTAAAAAAATACCTTGCTATTTGGTATGTATTGGTATTGGAGAATATACGTCCAAACAATATATTTTCGCTTTTATTGACTCGGTGGAATGTATGCTTCCATTTTAAGAAAGGGGAAGGAGGAGAGAAGTGAACTGGATGGTGAGACTGCCCACAGATAAAAAAGTACAAAATGCAAATATTTTAATTTAGTAGTCAAGATATATTTCATTGAGAAATTAGAGCCTTAAACCACAAATGAAAGGGAAGAGAGAGCCTAGTTACAGTCTTCCTAGATCTCTTCTCTACAGAATCTTAAATGTCAGATTTTCAAAAAAACCCTAAAAATCTCCAGTAATGTGGAACATGACTTGGAAGTTTTTGTCTCTCTATACATTCATTAATTTATTCATTCAATAACCATTAATTGAGTGTTAATGCTTAAGGTACTATGCTATATAGAACATATCTCTTTAAAATCTCTGTTTTCATGACCTTCGTGTTCTAGTATGTGGGGAAAAAACCCTTAAAAATAACTATCATCCTAGGGTAAAATGCAAACTGCAAGAAGTATTTATAGTAATTTATAGTAATCGAGATAATGGGGCGATTACTTCTGGCTCAAGGAAAATGAGGAAAGGCTTCATGAAAGAGTTTGCATTTGTCTTGGATCTTGAAGGAAATCTAAGACCAGCACATGTCAAGCAAAAAAATCTACTAAGCTTTTCAATGCAGAATTTTTAGAAATATCCCATTTAAAAATTCAGGAAAACGATTTACAATTTTAGCACTGTTAAAATTTAGCAAAGCTTTCCCTGCTGCAACCTCTTTAAATTGGAGATATACTCTCCTAGATTTCATTATCGTTACATGTTTAACTTTTAAATTAAAAAAGTAAACTTTTTAAATTTTTAGAAATATCACATATTTTTAAAAATGCAGAAGAATAATTTACAATTTTAACACTCCTAAAATTTAGCAAGGCTTTACTCACTCCAACTTGTCCCAATTGGAGATATTCTCTCCTTGTCTTCATAGGCATAACATGTTTAACTGTAGAGTTCCACATTCTCTTATTTCATTTTACATTTAAAATTTCAAATAAAGGTATGAATTACATCTCAATGTAATATCATGAATTTTATTATATAGTAATGCACCTGTTCACTTTAATTTTAGATATGCAATCAACAGGAATAAATGAAATTATATGAAATAATTGTAATCCACAGTAAAAATACATAGGCAACACCATCTGCATTTTTATTTTTCTGTGGGAAAAACTTTATACTTTTCAAAGACACTCACAACACTAATAATTAAAAAATATAGCAAATGATTTGCATAAAATGTGGTTAACATTAAACACCTGTCTTTTCACTTATAAGATGATTATTGGTCCTCCTTGACTTATGAAACACAAGAGGAGACATTAGGAAACAGATCTACTGCCTGATTTTGTTGTGAAAAATATATTGCTCTAGATATCTGCATAATATTTAGAATTAACTCAGGCAATGGGGAAAAGTTATAGACTTCCAATATAGACAGAAGATTTATAACTTGCTCTTAAGGTGTAAAATTTTCCAATCATTATCTTTATTTTAGAAACACAAGATTGCTACCTCTTCCCAAAAAAGCACTTCCCTATTCATTTCCCAAAATATATAGAGAATTCATTACATTTGTGGCAGATGAAAACTGTGATTTATAAATACTCAATGATATTCTTTGGTTGAAATAGTGCCATGCATGTGAGAACTCAGAAAGAGGAATACATGATATTAAGATCTCATTTTTGGATAGGACCTCACAGGCAACCATCTCAAGAACATCGTAAAATATCCTCCCCTCTACAGAATCTCCAAAACAGTTATACCCATTTAATAGATGAGGAACTGGGGCTCAGAAATATGAAATGACTTCACATAGGTTGTGGTAGTACAAGGGTTAGATCTCAGATCTTCTGGTCCTATCTTTTGTGCTTTTTGTCCACTATACTATAATGGGAACAGTAATAGTTTAGTATGACTTGTATGGGGTTCTCCCTTCAGAGAATCTCCATTCTCCCTCAATAGTCTTCTTAAATCCTGGGTATTTTTTTATAATCATGAGATCAAAGACTTAGATATGGAAGACAACTTAGAGGTCATCGAGCACAACCTCTTCTTTGTTTAGATGAAGAAACTAAAACACAGAGAGCTTAAATGACTTATCCAAGGTCACAGAACTAACAAGCATCTGTGGCAGGATTTTAACTCAAGTTTTCCTGACTTCAAGCCCTACACTTTAGTCCCTGCATCACCTAGAAACCTGAAAGATAAGAGAAGCATCTGATACTCTCGAAGAAGGCTTACCTTCATCCTCCAAAACCCTCTGCCTCATTTTGAAGTCAAAATTTTAAGGAAAATATACCATGGTAGCTCTGTAAGATTACTTTCCTCAGCTTATAGAAGAAGAAAGAATCATCACTAAAAAAGTTCACATCATGTGAGTAATTTGTGGTTATTCATATGGATCAGATCATGATAAACCTGTATGGCTTGAGTGCAATACACAGTAAGACAAATATTAGCACTAAAGAATTTGTTGATATTTACCTGCTCTCCATAATATAGTCATATGGAAAACATTTTTAGAGCAAAAGAAGTTGAGAAATTAACTTGAATGTCTGTTTTGTAAAAGTAATTCATTGTATTGATTTGTGAAGCTTGAGGGCATAGTAATAACTAGATTGTAGCCAAATATTAAGATACATGAAAAATTTTGAAAAATTAAGAGAAGTAACATTTTAATATACATTAAATAATTTAATTCAATTAAAAAAACATTTGGGAAAGCTGTGACACAATTAAGTTCCATAAGTAATGGACTGATAATTGACAAAAAACCTACAAATTTGTTGGCCATCATCTAAAATGTTTATTATTTACATATTGAAAATTATTTAGAATCTATCATTCAAAAGTACAAACACTAGTGTCTATCATAAAATTCATAGAAAAATATTGATAACTTACATGAGAAAGAAAATTTAGACATTTTTACAAAATGCTAGAAACAATCATTCTATAGTCATTAATTCTCTTTAAATAAAAGTTAAGATTAAAAAGTCCTCTATCATTCTAGAGTCATTGGCTATCAATTCCTAACCAAAAAAGTCAAGTTGAGTATGCTATCAGGAAGATTTTGGAGATGCAAGATCATACATACCATCATAGATGTAGACCTGGAAGGCATCTCAGATGCCACCCCATTATTTTACTGATAAGGAAAAGTAAAGCCTAAGGATTTGCCTATGGTCACATAGGTAGTAAGCAATTAGAGAGGGGAACTTGAATTCTGGTCCTTTGCCTCAAGTGTAAGTTCTCTCTCCATTACAAATTCTTCCTGAGACCTGACGGGTTGTCTTTAATGTCAGGATAGTCTGGTCCTTTTACAGCTCAGAATCCCTAACCAAAAATCTTCTTGAGTCATTTAGATATTAATATTATATAACTGTCAGTAGAAATTTCTTAACTGATGTTTCAAAGAAAACTTAATTAAACCTAATGATAATGTCAAGGAGTGAAGCTCAAATGAGGTGGGATGACTTCTCTTAATTTGAACACTGCAAGTGATTAATGAGACTAAAATGAGGGGATCAAAATTTAAAAACACAGAAATTAATGAATCCTTTTATGCTACCTCATTTTAACAAACATCATGAAACGAAACATATTCAAAGAGAAAGTACAGAAATTACTTTTTAAATGAAGAAGAAAAGTTTCCAGTAGATGGATATTATGAAAGCAAATATAATTGGTAAAGGGATACAGATCTAAAGAATAATTTCCTTTAATATTGCCAAGGAAATTACTCATTTTCATAATTAATTTTAATTAATTCCTCAATTATAGAATATTTTGTTGTTATGTAACTGTTTCTGTTCAGATGTGCATAGAAATATGCCCAGGTTTACTCATATGTAAACTGTTTTATAAAAGGAAGTTGAGCACCTTCAGAAAATGAATGAACTATTTTAGGGTAGAAGAGTGTCTTGAGGTCTTCTCAAAGAGTGAGTGCCATTTCTAAATTCAGGATCACATCATTTCTATGACAAGCAAAAACTAATTGTCCTATGCATCTTTCAGTTCCCACCTAACTTATCGATTTGGTATGACTTCACTGGAAAAGTAATTTTATGAGCTCTCACCTACTTAAGAAAAAAATCAGAGAAAGCGTGTCATGACTGGTTATATAATCAAATTTATGAACATTTTTATTATATACCCTTTCACATACTGTTCTGATGTCTCTTTATGATAGGTTAGATCAAAATATTCTCCTTGACAACACTGCATTTTGAATGAATTTTATTAAAACTATGGATTTAAATCATTATTAAAACAATAATGTCAAAT